TTTTGTCTTCTAGTAGTTATAATACCAGTGACTTCCTTGTACCAGGCCTGTTGTGTACATCTGTACAGAACACACAGAGTATGTGGCTGTAATGCAGGGCATTGTGCAGCTCAATTCTTTTGTCCTGTATATGTGCACACCTTCCAGCTGGACAGCCAGATCTGTGCTATGTTTTCTGGAGGAAATCTTTGTTGCTAGTAAAAGCCCTCTCTGTAGTACTATGGTCTGTTCCAAGGACATGGGTGCTGTCCTCTGCTGTCCACACTGTTTTCCCAGTGATCTACCAAAATCTGTCCCTGTATTTTGGCCCCAAACCTCTACTGCATTTCTTCTGGAGATTTTAGGTAGAACCAGATTGAAATAGAAGCTTGCCTTTATTTGGGAAGGAGGAAAAGAAAGAGTAGAAAGATTGATAGAGAAGTGAGGCTTTGGAATAACTAGTGAACTGAGCACTGGGCTGCTGTGGTGTCTGGGAGGCACAGCTACAGCAGTGTGGTATGAGTTGGGTAGTACAAATAGTGCAAGAATTCTTGTTGTGCATATTTTAAATAGTGTCTGTGTCTGGGTAGGAAGGAAAATGACACATACTAATCCTTTCCTTCCAACCCAAGTAGGTTCCAGTTGGATAATGCATGATGTGACAGACCTGTATTGTAGCTGTTTGCCAAACAGGCTTTGCTTCTTCATGTGTGCCTTGTTCAGATTTACTAGTGCAGCTGAATTTCCAGCAGAGGAACCTCCATCACTTCGGCTGGGGAAGATGTCTTTGACCTGCAAATTGGCAATAAAGAAATATAAGTGAAATTTGCTAATTGACCTGTTGATACATCCCTGGATGTCACTCACTAAGAACAGAGATGCCTCCTTGCCATTTTCTCCTTGAAGGGGGAATAGAACTTTCATCCCATTACTTCAAAAGTGCAGCCTCTAAGCTGGTATATGTGCTTTGTAGCATGTAGTAAAGTTTATTCTGCCCACTTGACCTCAACAAGTTGATGTAACAGAAGCTGCAGCTGGGGAATACAAATTATACTTTTGATAGCCTTTTTTATTTTTCCCCTGGTAATTCTTGGGTCAAAACTTAATGAACCAAAATTATACACTATTTTATTCTCTGTAGATCTGGGCATATAACTTTAATAGTAGGTCTGGGATGGTTCACTGGCTTGTATTTTATACTATTGCCTGTCACAGAAGCTGAATGAAACAAGCTTGTTATATCAGATTTGTCAGTATAACTTAGAGCAGTGTCGTTCTGCTGTTTGATGCTCTTCTGATTCTCTCATGAAACCATTTATCTGTGTTAAGTCTTTACAGTAACTTTACGTGTCAGTCATGAAGCATGAAATATCTTCTCTTTAAGACTTTTGAATAAGAACCTGATACGTTGAATGCTGTATCAGTCCTCTTAAGTGACACATCTACTGAAAGCTCCCCTGCTCCCTTCAGCAAATATTGATTTATACCAAATGTCCACTGGCTAGAGATAATCTTTGAGAAACAAAACGCAATTTACACTTTGATTAAAAGGAGCTGTATCTCCAGAATACTGTTTAAGTTACAAACCTCATGTATGTTTGAGGTACCACCAGCAGCACTGACAGAAACCAAATGTGTAATCCTGCAAATGGCTGTAATTTTTGCTGTGGAAGTACTTTGCGAGGGGAAATTGTAATGTGGCTTCTTGGTTTTGATCTGTAGGCTTGAAAATAGAGCTGCTAAACAAAAACATTGTAGGACCTCCTTTTCTAAGTGGATTTTTAGCACTTTTGATTGTCTTGCTTCACAGAAAATCCCTTCTCTTCCCTCCCTACTTCCATGCACTCTCATTTTTCTACTTCCTCTGTATAGGGAGGAGTCACCTAAAGGCCTTTCCTCTCGAAGAGCAGTGGGTTTGAGTTGAAAGCCACAGGACAGAAGATATAAGCAATGGTGCTCATAGACAGGATAAGACAGTGGCAGTTCAGAAGAGCCTTACCTGTGCATCCCAGTGCCCGGGTATTTGGATGAGGCTCCATCCTCCTCAATAACTCAGTGTTTGAATTTCTAGAGTGGATCATTCAGAGCCTCTGATGGGTGATATCACATGTGATGTGTGCAAGGCAGCAAGGTGAGAGCAGCAACAGGCAAAGCAGGAATCTCAGTACTGGGGGTAGAGTGCTCTGCTAGAGCAGAGTCTCTCCTCAGTAAAACCTAGGCAATAGTGAAAATCTTGGGAAAGAGGCTGCAGCTCTCTCAGCTGGGGATGTGGCTTCTCCATGCAGCTGGTAGCCACTTTTTCAATGTGCCACCTCAGTAGCATGGTCAATCCTTCCCGGCCAGTTGTAGCCAGAATAAGAAGAGTTGGAGGATACCTCTGCTCTTCTGCCTTACCTTTAAACTAAATTGGAAGGGAAGTCCAGAGTTGGCGTCTGCCTTCCTCCTAGCCAGCAATGAACAGGTAGAGTGCTGATACGTACCCACAAGCATAGCTGCAGGCCCAGAAGTTGTGTTTGTGGTTGCAGTTGTAGGTGATTGCATCCTAATTTGCAAAGGACCCTTACCCACACCTTTGATTTCTTGAGCGATCAGACTCAAATGCTTTTGGTTTTGAAGCGTGACTGCTGTCTCAATTCCTCAGGAGAAGGAGAAGTCCTGCTGGAGCAGGAGTTTGGAAAGTTGTGTTGAAAGCTAGGAATGATCCCTCACTCATGGCCTCCTACGCTGTCATCAGCAGAAGAGGGGAAGTCACATCCCTGAAGAGTGAGACCACTTTGTGCAGCAAGAGGAGCTGAATAGCTGGGTTTAGCTGCAGCAGAGACTGGTGTTTTTGGGGAGGAAAAATAGAATAAACACAAACTTCTGCGGTAGTTGTAGCAGGAAGAGTGAACTCTGATAGCCTGGGTTATAAAGCAGCTTTGGTATGGAAGAAAGAAAAAACAGGGCTTTCTTCCAAGGCCTAGCAAATATATGCTTAGCTCTTTATTACTGTCCTAGAAACATCCCTGGAAGTGTCTAAGCAACATGTATCTGGACAGTGCAGCTCTGAACTTTCCCTTGGCCCTTTCAGGGACAAGATCTAGCTGCCCAGGGATCTTCTGCAGTTCCAGTTAGTGCTCAGGGCTTTGCAGAAACCAGACATGTAGCTACTTCTGCAGCGGTGACTTGAAAAAGAGGAAAAATTGTGTCCAGTTTTACCATGCAGGGTGGAAACCCAGCTAGGAAAATTGTCCTCTGACTTGGAAGCGGGGTTTCATTAGCCAGGTTTCATTCGTCAGGCCCCATCTTGTAGTGGAGTATTTCTGTGTGGAAGGTGTCATATCCTGATGGTGAATTACAAACTAACTGGAATTTCTTACCAGTGATGAGACAGTTAAGCAGCCCTCCTAGGGGAAAGCAGTAAAGAGCGTTTTCCTCTTGGTGGCAAAAGTTTTGACAGATTTTGCCCCATCAGAATTAGAAGGATCCGACTGTGACCCGTCAAGGGAACTTGACTTCAGAGATGTAGCTCTGCTGAATTCTCTGCCATCAGATGCTCTGTCAACATTATTTCCCCCTTTCTGAGGTATTATTACTTACTTTGTCTCAGTAAGGGTTTGTTGGGGTTTTTTATTAAGGTTTGCAGGCTTCCCCCAGAAACAAAATACAGTTGAGCCACAAAAGCAAATAGTCGATTGGGTCTGATTTACTCTCTTGAAGAGTGTTTCTTTCAAGTTGCTGCAACCTTTTCATAGCTCTTTTGTTCTGCAGTGATCAGGAGCTCTGGATTCACTTAATTTCCTGCCAATTCCTGTGCACTGACAGCCCTCTATTTGTTTTCTTCCATGCTTTATTGTGCCTTGTTGTGACTGCCAGTAGAAAGTGCTAGGAAGGCCAGCTGAGGTGCACTTTATTGCTTGCCTTCCCTGCCTTTAATCTAGCTATAGAAACTCATGCTGTTACCTGCACTGTAGTTTGGGTTGAGGAGAGAGTCTTGGTGGCCATTTGTGTCTGCTGCTGCAGAGGAAGGCTGGTAGTTCAAGTTTTCAATGCCAGTTGTAATTTTTTAAGCTCCAGAGGAAATGGTTGACCTTAAGTATGATAGAAATGCTGCAGTAAATGTCTCCTGGTGGGTGGAGGAAGATGCTGACAAGTGTCTGTTCTGCTCTGCTCCTTGGTTTGTTCTCAGCAAGTCTGCTTGCTTACCTCTGCCTGGCAGGGAAGGGGATAGATGCTGGAGACAAATAGGGATGCTAAATTTTTGGCTCAAACACTGTACTTGAAATCCAGTCTTTGCTTTTGAAGTACGTCTTAGTTCTGGCCCTCCTTTACCCGAGCCACACGTGCATTTCTCTGGAGTGAAGCCTAGCAAAAGTATGTTTGTGAAACACTTCACAACCCATGAATGCAAATGCTGTCAAATGCAAACCTCTTTTATTCTTTTGTCACATTTTTTTAATGTTGTTTCAAGCTCATTGCTGTAGACCTATGCTGCTTGGGAGGTGCAAGGAGAGCAGCATGAGGGCCAGCCCCTCTGAGCTGGGGAGATCTGTCCTGCTCGGGTTTCAGTAACACAATGCTTTGTGCAGCCATGTGCATGCACAAAGAGCCAACTGGCTGGAGCTCCTGTGGTGACGCTTGGCTGATTTGGCAGCCGGATTGATTCTGTCAAGTTACAGTATGGGAGTTAAGTCCAGCTTCAAATCCTCTCCCTTACCCGCTCAAGAAACTTGGAGGGGGGAGGAGAGGGAAGAAGGGGGGAAAGCTCTCTGGAGACTTTGTGTCATTATTGGCATGGAAACATTTTGTGATTATCAGCAGCAGGGTAGTGGCAAGAGGCTGATTATCTATCATGTCGTCAGCATAAATAACCAGTGGGCCCCTGAGCAGGGCTCCGCCTTTTGTAATGGCTTCACGTAATCACTGCATAACAGTTTAAAAGCAAGCAGTACAGAAAAACAGCTGGACTGATTCTGACCCTAACTGATGTTACCTTTTCTCCCCTCACTAGAAGAGAAATATGTCACTATCCAGCCGTACGCCAGCCAGGGGAAGGATGAGATTGGGTTCGAGAAAGGGGTCACCGTGGAGGTCATCCAAAAGAACCTGGAAGGATGGTGGTACATAAGGTAAAGAAACTCTGCAGCCTGATCGTTACAGAAACTGTGACAATGAGCTTTTCTGATCATTCACTTAATGTTAGAGTTTAAATACTTCTGTAGCTGGGCAAGGAAGCCCAAATTTTTCATAATGCCTCTTGAAGAAACATAGAGTCTAAGGCGATACAATGGTGATTAAAGTAACACTACAGTGTCTGCAAAGGCTGTGGACTGTTCCAGTGAGGAAATGCCTTAACTTGTAGTTTTAGAGGGTTTTTTTCTTGCTTCAAGTTAAAAGCCCATATCTGAGTTAAGATCTGTGAGACCTAACAAGGCTTTCTGTTGTGTGTGATTTCAATGTGTTTCCAGTATAAGAGTTATTCTGCAACATGTTTAAATCTATTTATAGTAATGCTGAAAGACTGATTGTGATCTCTTGAGCTGTTTGGGGCAGGTAAGTGCTACTTTCAGGGATATAAGAGATCAGTTTGCTGGCTACAGCCCTCTCCCAAACTTACCAATGGTTTCAACTAATTTGCCTTGACTTCTACCTGTCAACATTAGATATTCCTAATGTAGAGGGACTATATTCCAAAAGCAGGTAAAGTTGTTATTGGGTATCAAACTTTGTTATATATTTGGAACAGTAGTCTTAGCAGGGAGTTTTGACTTAAAAATCTCCTTTTTAAATGCTTATGGGGAAGAGTGTAGGTTAGATGCTGTCTCAATGATGTAAGGTGTCAGGGTAAGTACTTAATGAGAACTTTCTTCATCTGGGTTCACACAGCATTTAGGTTTTAGTGCTCTTTCATGATTCTGCTCCTTGTCTTGTATCTTAGTGTGAATCTGGCAGTGCTGTGATATCCCATTTCTCTTTAAACAAGATGCGATACAATAGGTAGCTAAAAAATGAAGGTTTATCTCTCAGCACTGCAAAACATCTCATCTAGTCATCTTTTTCCATTCAACTTGTAATTACAGTGATTATTTTTTCCCCTTTCCCTCCCTAAGTCATAACTTGCTTTTGTTTGAATTCTGCTTAATTTATCGACTATGAATGAGGACTATGAAAATGCTGACTGAAGCAATGTTGTTGTTTTTCTTGATTTCCCTTACTTAGAAAGCTGATTTTTTTCTTCTATTTAATGGTCCCATAGAGCGAATAAGCTAATAAAGATAGCAGTGGAGCCAGGAAGGCACTCTAGATAGGAGGAACTCAAAAATGCCTGGGTTTGGTCAGGTCACATTTTTTTCTCCTTTAATCATCCACAGAAGTGGAATCCAAAGTTGCAGATGGGGAATTGAGCGCATAGGTTTTCTGAGGGGAGAACCATTGCAAGACATCTCTAGTTGTTTTTTTTTAATTCTCTTTCTGAAATGTAGCCTGGTTACTACTGTAGGTTTCCCTTTGATATGTTAACACTTCTACAATAAGCAGAATTTTTTTTCCCTGTTTTCTCACACACTCTTTTGGGCCAACCCAAAAGACACATTTTTTTGTATAGCAAAAATGCCTTCTGCAGGATGGAGGCACTTGCTGCAGTGATTCACATGGCACCTTCATTCATGGCAATCTGCTAGAAGGACAGTGGATGCCCCAGCCACCCCATGATACTTGAGGAATGCAGCATGTGCTTGGCTTTTTTGTAAGAGACCTCAACTCGTTTTTGAGTTGACAAACACCTCTTCTTGTCGAAAAAATTGATTAGGTGCTCCCCATATGTGTGCCAAGCATGTGGGGTGTCAACTATCATCCTCTCTGCTGCTCTGGAGCATTACACTACACTCTTGCTAGAGGATTAAACTCTTAGAAAAAGGTTTTTTTTTCATGGGCAGCACTTCTGGAAACATTGATGTGATCCATCCCTGCAGGCTGGTCCTTTGCAGCCTGGGTAGCTGATCTTCACCTTCTTGTGCTGTTCACTGTATGTAAACTGCCCTGAGTACTGTTAGGTACCCCTCAGAGAAGGATTCCATTTCTGCAGAAATTCACTTTTCTGAGTATTGAGTGCCTTAGAAGGAGCAACTCCTCCTGTCATGAGTGTGAGGGGAGAGGGAGCAGGAAGAGAATGCAGTTGACTCCTGCTGACTGGATAACAGACTGAGTACACTTCAATGTGTAGAAGTAGAAACAAATCCAGTAGTTTGCAATGGAATCCACCTTAAAGACATTAGCTTGTTCCACCTTAAATACGTAATTTCTCCAAATTCTTGGCCATGTGCTGATCCTCATTTCCTGTCCTTATTTTTTTCTTTTCTTTTCTTTTTTTTTTTCCTTTTTTTCCCCTAGTTTGCTTCCCTCTGGAGTAATTCCAGTGCTCTGGAGCTGGAAAGCAGATGTGACTCTCAGACTTACAGAGGCACTTCTGACTTTTTTTAACATTCCTATGGTTTTAATCCATTTTTTCCTTCATGTAAGATAAACAGGGAGGATTTTAGAATCAAGAGGGAACCAAATCACTGCACCTAATTCTGAAACCCTGTAGAAGCTAGAAGAAATATTGGTGTCTGTCTTTATTTTTTCCTGTGTGCACTATGACTCTTTAAAAAAAACCATCAGGACTGGGGAAATGAAAGAAAGGCTCTGACCTGGGATCCTTCTCACTGTTCTATTGCATGCAGTAGGTCCGCTTCCTGGCGTGCCCAAAGCTGGCATTAACATCCATCATTTAGATCTTACTTTGTATCTATTTTTGTCACCTGGAGGTAGTCTCATGGTGCCCAAGTGGACTTGACTGCAGGGCAAATAAGTACCAATACGCTAAGTATGGCTTTTGTTATTTGCCTGTATCTTCATTTTGTGGTTATTCTGAGCCTCAGCCCATGTGAATGAAGTGCAGCTGGGAGGTGTTAGCAGCACTGAAACGAGGAGGAATCTAGGATGGGGTTTGAAACGTTTCCAGTAGCTTGTGAATATAAATGAAGGAAGGATGCTTGTGTTTCAACTCTTAGATATGAAATGAAGATCATTACCAGTCCAGGACTTCTCTGAAGCTGATTATGAGTTGCTTTAGTTCTTTCACCTATAAAATAAGGAGATACAGTAGTCTTCTAAGCTTATGTTTGCAAAGAGCTTTAGGATTACCAAATTCAAGGACTAAAGTAAAAAATGTAAGCCTATTTGACTTACATAAATAGCTTTTATTTGTGATGTTGTAGAAATAAACTGGCAGTTGCTGGCAACTACTGCTCAGCATTCACTCCAGGTTGTATTGACTAACTCCAGGAAAGTAATAGCCTGCAAACAGCCTCCCTACTGAGGATATGTTGCTCAGAGTTATTAACCGTCCAGCTATTGCTGCTAATATTCATTGGGAGAAACTATGTGGGATCAGAGGTGTTTGAAGCAGTGGGGTTATACAGGCTGATCCAAATACATACAGTTGGCAGGAGAACTGACAGGCCAGAACAGAACCTGCCTGTGGCTGCCGTTCTGATCTTAAACACGTTAAGTCTCCCACAAACTAAGATGGATGTAAACTGTTTTTTCTTGCTGATTTTGCACAATCAAGCTCTGTTGAAAGTAACCTTTGGAACTGGACATTCCACAGCACATTTGTGAATCCACAGTGCATTGGGCACTGTGGCTTTCTCACAGATGAAGACGTTTACATCTATAGGTCATGTAAACTTATAAAATGCCCTTTAAAAAAAAACTTTCTTGATGCACAGAAAGCATTGGTCAGTAGCTCTGCAAAAGAACTATCGACTGCAAAAGGGAATGAAGCCAAAAGTCTTCAGGGCTGGAAAATGGCACTAAGAGATGCCTTGCCACAACAGGAAACGTTAGCACATGTTGAGGCCTTTCTTCCTTTTCTTTTTCGGCTTGGTATGAGGCTTAGCAGAAAAAACTCAAAAAGGACAGGATTGAATAGATCCAAATTGCATCTTGACATAGTATTACACAGTGGATGCTGTGTATCTGTTTGAAATCAAATCAAGTCATTACCATTTTGCTACTTCTTGTTAGTCTCCATGTGTCAAACAAAGCTCAGAGCTGTTGGGATGCTTTCCACCCACTCCAGAATCTTTGGAAAAACTTGTCACTAAACTCCCTGAGCAGGGGAGATCCCATATCTTTGCCTTCATGTGTGACAGAAGGCAGGTATCTAGGGAGAAGCAGCATCTCTAGTATCCTGGCTCATCTAGGGGACTGGGGAGGAAAAGGCAGGATTTTGGACAGAAAAGTCCTTGTAGTCATTGCTAGAAATACAGCATTTATATTTGCTTCTGTACAGGAACAGTAATGAAGTCTAGGGAATCAAATCTAAACTGTGTTTTCCTGTTCTCCCCATAAAGTCCCAGTGCCATTCAAGTGTCTGGATATGGTGAGTGAGGCCAGGATGTGACTTGATGAAGAAATCTCACCACAAACCTCAGAATCCACGTATTGTCATAACAAAGATGCTCACCTGCCAAGGAATGATTTGCTCATATCCCACATGCCCCGGTTCCTTCCTCTGCTGTCTAATGAGGTTCCATTTTCATTAAAGAGCCTTAAAGTCCTACTGTTTTAAACTTTGTATTTCCTGCAGATTTCCTGAGCACCAGAATTTTAATGGTGCCTGGTTTCCCACTTTCAGCTCAAGCGCCTGCTTTGGGTATCTTGAGAGATTAAAGAGAGAAAGGTTTCAGTGACTCACTCTGTAGCAAGTTAGGATTTCATTAGGGAAAGCAGAGTTCATCCACGTGGTCCTCCCTGGAGTCTGATTGTAATCTGAAATCCCTGCTGAGGTGTTAGGAATGGCAGGAGTTAGAAAAAACATCTTCCCCAAAGCCAAGTTGTGGAAGAATGACTTCAGTTTGAAGTGGAGCATGATCAGCTCAGTCTGGTGTTTCGGGAACACATACTGGATTCAGGTGTCTGTTCAGATTTCCCAGTTTATTTCTTCAAATAGCCTCTAGCTTGTTCAGGAAAATGAATCTCCATTGAAGCCTTTTTCCCTTAGTCAAATTGTTTCTTGATCTTGCAGTGCTAGAAGAAGCTATAGTACTTTAAGGGTCCCATGTTCTCCATAAGAGAAAGCTGGTCGTACAGAACAGGGAGTTATGGAAGGAGGGGCACTGTCCATTATAATTGCAAGGAGGGAGGCTTGCACAAGGGTCTTATAAACTGCAGGCACCGAGTCTCTCTACTGGGCTCTGTACACCCTATTTTAACCTTTTCCATTTTGAGTTGCTATTAGGAAGTATAAAAACTATTAAAATATTTTACTCACTAGTTTGCTTTTTTGCAGTATGGGAAAATACTGAGTTTACCTAGTCTTGTCAAAGGGGGGGCATAAAACAAACTGGTGAAGGACTTTACCTTGTGAGTAACTGTATTTCTTGTCCAGAAAGACTCCTTCCTTAGTGTGATTAGTGGCTTTTAACTCCACAGTTCACTACTAGCTCAGCTGACTTTGACATGTCCAATCAATAGGTAATAAATTAATAGAGAGCACAAAAATCTTATTTGAGAACTGCAAATTTTGTTTGTTATCATCCATCACTTTTGCTTTAGCTGTTCTACCTGAAATGTGTCAGAAGGCTGTGTTTGATGTGGTGATGTTTCCTTTTGCATCTGCAGGTATCTAGGCAAAGAGGGCTGGGCCCCAGCTTCATATCTGAAGAAGGCTAAAGATGATCTTCCATCTAGAAAAAAGAACTTAACTGGCCCAGTGGAAATCATAGGAAATATCATGGAGATCAGTAACCTGCTGAACAAGAAATCATCCACTGACAAGGAAGCTCAAGTAGAAAATGAGACTGCAGAAACACATATCACCAAGAAGGAAATCAGTTTGCCCATCCTGTGCAATGACTCTAATGGCAATGCCATGATGACCTCAGACAAGCAGGTTTCCAGACTGGCCCAGGGATCCCCAGCCATAGCAAGGATAGCACCACAAAGAGCTCAAATAAGTAAGGCAGAAAAGTAGTCTGGGTTTTCACGGGCTTGCAATGAATTTTATTCTCTACCTTTCAGGGCTGGCATTGCCTGCTAAGGTCCCACATGTCCTGGCCTTATAGCCAAGTCCACACAAGCAGACCTTTACACTGTCTATAGATCTATCTACAGGGACTCCAGAACATGATCCTTCAATCGTAGTGATAAAATTTGACTTCATTTTATACAAGGGCTGGATGGTGGCTCTTTAACTTACCCTGCATGTGTTTACTTTGTTATTTTTTCCCAGAGAAGACTTTTTGTTCTTTTTGAACACTCTAAAATGTGCTCCTACCCCAGAAATGCAGATGATGTGATGGTGTATTCAAGTCAAGGAAACAACCTGTGTCTTCTCTTGTATTTGTTCTGCTGTTTTTCTGGGGGCAAGTTGCTATAATGTTTTTACTACTTCATCTGCAAAATGCAGATGCTGACACTAGTCTGTGCAAGGAATGGCTAAATACTATGATAGAGGACAGTGTGAGTGTTATTAATTTATTGGATTATTTTTACTGCTGAGGGGGAAAACTAGATATGAAGGCAGTTCTTTGCTGGCCAGTCTCCAATGGAGCTGGTCAGTTCCAGCAGAAAATACAATCCACTACTTTCTGGCAGTGATTTCCTCATAAATTTACTGGCTTAGCTGAGATGAATAGCTAAGCTACCCTGGTATTTCTAATATACCCTCATAGTTTCCTATCTTGTTTCATAGAGATGCCTTAAATATTGCAAATACTGACTTCTAATATTCTCAAACTGTGTAACAGCAGAGAGCTGCTGGAAAATGTGCTTAACAGTACTTTCAAAGCTAAATAAACTCTCCTTTTTGCCCTTTCCTGCTCAGGTTCTCCAAATCTAAGAACGAGACCGCCCCCACGAAGAGAATCCAGTCTGGTTTGTATTGGTTTATGGTATATATTAGCAGCGGGGTAGGTGTCTGGGTGCTTTGTGAGACTTTCTGCATCTCTACAGGGTGTGGGGGGTATCTGAGAGATCCCTTATTTGCATGCCTGTTCATTTAATTGTTTAAGTATTGAGCAAAACTCTGGACATCAAAATGTTGATCGGGGATTTCTGTTATTCAAAATGCTGCCCCAAATAATCAGATCTGAAGGGAGAACTTACTAAGGCTCATGTTCTGTACATGGGCATTAAAGCTTGTTTGGCTGACTCAGAAGGTTTTAAGTTCCTCCTAGTGTCTTTGGTCCGGACTGATTTTTTTGACATTTTCTTGTCTTAAGCAACTGGGAATGTATCCCCCTCTTCGCATTGCCACCATCTCTGAGGTGGCTAAGATTCACTCTTGTGTGTGTTTAAAGTGCTTGGAATCTTATGGAAGGATGTATGCTATAGTAATGAGACCTCCTATGATTTCCTATCCTCCAAGATGGAATTCTGGAAGTTTGTACTAATTGGAGATTAGAACTGTCATCTTCAGATAGGAGCTACTCAGTGTATTTGCACAAAAGTCATGCTAATAGCTTGTTTATCTAGGCAGTACATAGTGTTTAATCTTTGCTCTACCTTTTATGAGCAGTATGTGACTTGTAATTTTTCTGTGTCATCTCAAATGCTTCTTAAACTAGATGAATAGCATATTAGCATTTTCTTCCTATTTTTCTTTGCATTATTTTCAATTAGATTTGTTTTGGTGAGACTATGACACTTAATCCCATGCTAAAAGTAACATTGATATTATATGTGAAACTCTGAACATATCTGCTGTTTCCAATTATCTTCATTTAATCCAAACCATCCTATTATCTGAAGGCATTTTATTATAGTGTGCTTCTGCTGTATTTCAGCATTTATAGTGCAGAAACATCCAATTATAACATTGTTAGACACGGTTCCTAAGGTGCAGAGATGCATTCTCTGAGAAATGCTACATGCTGTGCGTGATGAAACATCAACTGTTAGTTACAAGGGTATCTTAGAAATGGAGGAGCATGAGAATAAAGCACAGTGTGCAGCTCACCTTTCTCCAGTTAACATTTTAGGATTATTTTGTGTCTTTGGCAATCCTGTGTCTGTGGATGCTCTGACCTGTGGTCAGGAGATCCTGACGCAACTGCAGTTCTTTCATAGAACTCCAAGCAGTGAAGTGTAGAAGCTGTGAAGCTTCACCATCATCTAGTTGTCCTGTAGATGAGCCCTATGCACTGAAAAGCTTTCAATATTGAAATTACTGAAAGGACTTTTATCCCATTTATCACCTTAAAAATAATTGTAGCAAATTCTAAAATGTAACAGCTTAATGTAAAAGCTTTTAGAGTCTGGTATGCTGCCAGAATGGCTGTAAATAGCAGTGTCCCACTTCTCATAGAGCCTTTATGAACCTCTATGTGTTGGGATTGAATAGAGGTTCTGGGTCTGTAACAGGGAAGAACTGGATCCTGTAGTAGAGTCCTTCCTTTCTTCTAGCACTCGAGCTGAGCAAAGCTCTTCATAGGGGTCTATGATATTATCCTTGTTTCTTGATACAATAGGTGTCCATTAGCTCATATCACTGACTAATTCAGATTGTTTAAAAATCCAGCAGCAGATTAAGAGCAATAATTTATTGAGATTACATTTAATGATAGGCAGAATCTATTAGCAGCCTGTTGCAATGCAATTTTCTGCAGCTGTGCAAGTTATCCAGAGCTGAGTCTTTCTGGACAAAAATCTCAGCATAAAAGGGCTGCTGTTACTGTGAGTGGAATGGCTGCTCACACTTTATGGCCCATGAGTAAAATGTTTTACTATTCAGGTAAAGATTATCACAGTTTTAATAGCTGGTGAAAGTGGCATGAACAGTGCATATGTTGAACAGCTTCTCTCTTGCGGCCCATATCAATACATCAGCTTCTGCTCTGGAGAACTGGGAAGTTATAATTAGGAAGTAGCACAGGAAGAAGGGAGAGTTTTAGTGAATAAAGGCAATTATTTTCATACTGCTGTTCAGCTTACTGTTTCTTTGGTTTAATTGAACAAAATGTCCTATTTGCCCTAGGGTTTTCAGTTACCCAAGCCACCAGAGCCACCCTCTGTGGAAGTGGAATATTACACCATTGCAGAGTTCCAGTCATGTATCTCTGATGGCATAAGCTTTCGTGGAGGACAAAAAGCAGAGGTGAGCCTTAACAGTGGAAAAATTATAATATTTGGCTATTGCAGGGGACTGGATTGAAAGAGGAGGAGTTTCCACAGCAATTGGTTGAGATTTTTGTCTAAGTAACATGTTCTTTGTCACCTCCTAGGTTATAGAAAAGAATTCTGGTGGCTGGTGGTATGTGCAGATTGGAGAGAAGGAAGGATGGGCTCCAGCATCTTACATTGACAAGAGGAAGAAGCCGAATTTAAACAGAAGAACCAGTACTTTAACCCGCCCAAAGGTTCCTCCCCCAGCACCTCCCAGTAAACCAAAAGACTCTGAAGAAGGAACAACTCCGGGAGCAGTTTCTTCAGGAGATACCCAGGAATCTCCCCACAAGCTGAAATATGAAGAACCTGAGTATGATGTGCCTGCTTTTGGCTTTGACTCGGAGTGTGAAGTGAGTGAAAGTCATCATGAAGAGGGCACTCCTGAAAAACGACTGTTTCAGCCCCTCAAGCCCTCACCTGTATCATCACTTCAGAAAGCAAAGTTCAAAGTAGAAGAGTCTTCAGAAGAAGCTGCTCATGAAGAAGAGACCATCTATGAGAACGAGGGATTCAGACGTTACGTGGAAGATGCTTTGTCCAATAAGGAATCTAGTGGAGATTCCGATTCTCAGAAAAGCTCCTCTCTGTCCTTGGTCCAAAGGAATTCTCCATGTTCCAGCTCTCCTAAATCATCGCTCATGAAGCTCAAGACAGACAAAAATATCCAGCCCGATCTTGGAAAATGTCACTATTCCAGGAGCGAGGAGACAAAACCAAGGTCAGCTTCAGACGTTGGCTTACGTAGCATGTCAAGAACAGGCATGAAGAAGGAGCCTGAGCAGAGTCCTTCCATTAGAGCAAAGCCAATTGTTAGGCCCAAACCCTTTCTGAACAAGGCAGATTCTCAGAGCCAAGAAAAGATGGATATTAGCACTTTAAGGCGTCAGTTGAGGCCAACCGGGCAGCTCAGAGGTGGACTTAAAGGTTCAAGAAGTGAAGAGTCTGCAAGCCCCCCACGCACAGCTTCTGAGAACCAAGATGACCCTGTTAGGAGAGGCTCAGCTGATCTCATCACAGCTCCTTCCCGTGGCATTTTCTGCTCCAGCCATACAGCCAAAACTGAGCAAGAAAATGATTCCAGATGTTTCTATGTGACCACTGACTCATACCAAAAGGTACAGGATTCTGAAATTTGCTTCCCAGCCGGAGTAGAAGTGGAAGTGCTGGAAAAGCAAGCCAGTGGATGGTGGTACCTGAAGTACGGAGACATGGAAGGCTGGGCTCCTTCCCATTATTTGGCTCTCCCTGATAACCAGCGAGAAACCACATCAGCAGATGCTGATTCCTCGTTTGCCAGGAACAGGAAAAATGAAAACAAGTCAAACAGTTTGGAGAAGATAGAGAAGAGGGTTCAGGCTTTGAACACCATCAACCAGAGCAAACGTGCAACACCACCCATCCCAAGCAAACCTCCCGGTGGCTTTTCAAAAGCATCAGGGCCAGTTAAAATGAGGAATGGTGTGAGGCAGCTTGCTGTCCGTCCACAGTCAGTGTTTGTGTCTCCACCACCAAAGGATAACAACCTGTCATGCTCCTTGCGCAGAAATGAGTCTTTAACAGCTACAGACCAACTTAGGGCCGTCCGTCGGAATTCCTCCTTCAGCAATGCATGGTCACAGCCTGGTGACACAAAGGGAAAGCAGCCTGAGCAGCTGGGTACACAGAGCTCTGAGACCACCTCCAACCTCCCTATGCAGAGGAATGGGATCCCTGTGTCCACAGTCAGGCCAAAACCCATTGAGAAGTCCCAGTTTATCCACAACAATCTCAAGGACATCTATGTTTCCATTGCAGACTATGAAGGAGATGAGGAGACTGCAGGGTTTCAGGAAGGTGTCTGCATGGAGGTCCTTGAAAGGAACCCAAATGGCTGGTGGTACTGCCAGATCATGAATGGTGTGAAGCCATTCAAAGGCTGGGTGCCCTCAAATTATTTGGAAAAAAAGAACTAATATTGCAATATCTTTAACCTCCCTAATTTATACTGTTCCTGCTGTGTACATGTGGAAAAAACAATTGCTACACAAAAAGACGTTTCCCTGTGCTCCAGTTTGTACAAAGGAGTCTATACTGAGGACAAATCTGCCATGTTCTGGAGAGGTTTGTGGGGTTTACATGTTGTAAGCAACTATGAGGAAGATGCAGCATAGTCAAATGCCTTTTTGTGAAGTTGTTAATAATCTTGTATGTGTAACAGGGTATGACATCCCATCCTTCCCATTATTGATAGGAAACCAAATGTGTGCCTTTTGTGAGAGAGAAATACACATGTATCTACTTGGGGAGTTCTGTGCCAAACTCTGTTTCACAATCTTGGCTCCCTTTCTCCTCATTCTTGTCCATATGTGGAATACCCAAGAATTTTGAATGCTTTTTCACAACTTACAGTGAGAAGCAAATGAAAGTTTCTGAAACAGAGGGACTCTAATCCTTTGGAGATGCTCACTTTTTTTTCTTTTTTTTTTTACTAAACAGTTGGTAGGTCCAGAGTTGGAGCCTTTTCACCGCGGAGAGATTTGGTCTCTGACTTCAGTGTTGTTACTGCTAACTCACCAGAAAAGGCAACCAAGTGATGTGGGTTGGGGGCTTTTTGTTTCCTGTTGTTCTGTCTTGTTCTTTGAGTTGGGATTTCAGGTGTTCTAGGGCAGTGATGCCTACTGGTGCTTGTAAAAACAAACCTACAAACCCCATGCTTAAGCACGTTGATTACTTTGTAGGCTCCATGTTTAGTTCTGTGCCTGACTCCTGCCAGGTGATCCTGGTTGATTCTCTTCCCAGAGTTGGGTTTCTCAAAACTTGTCATAATATCAAAGTGTACAAAAGTCCCTTAGGACACTGAAGACAAACCTGTCAAATGTGTTAATTCCTGTTTTGCCCTCTCGTCCGAATCCAAGGGTGCTGACTGCTGGCAGGACCCACCAGGGTATTAGTGAGAAATATCTGTAACCTTCTGCAACATCAGTGTTTACAGTGAGTAGGGAAAAAAAAAAGCCATCAAACTCAGTCTGCACATCCTTAATTTGTATATTTTTGGGGAATTGTTTTTGTGTTTTGTTTTTGTCTTTTCTGTGCATTCTGGGTTTACTTTATTTTCTCTGTGTGTGTGTGTGTATGTGTGTGTGTGTCTGGTTTTACCAGAAGAGACTTAAAACTGAAGTAGGAGCCAAATATGTGTTTCTGTTCCCACTTGAATCCAAAAAGTACATTTGTACTGGAAAGTGTGCCTGGGCTTCTCAGGCTCAGAGATTTAATATCAAAGCAATTAGATCTACAATGCATCTAATCAGGAAGCTGCCTCCTCTAGTTCCAGTTCTGTTTGCCTTACTTAACTCATGCTTTGAAACGTGGCACACGGATGTGGGAAATGGAAGAGCTGTCCATTGGAAAAGGCTAGGAATATGGAGTTATTTTAGAGGTAGCCTCGTACTGTAAACATAATTGACTGAATCCCTACTGTACTTAAGGAAGTCATGCTTTTTCTTTTTTTGTACAGCCTTGTTAATCACTCAAGATCAATATCTAGTTCCTTTAAATAATAGGCAGCCTTGTAAATCTGTTTTAAGGGGGAGGGGCAGACCATTTCACTACTGCTTTACACAAAAAATTACATGTGCTCTTTTTCCACTAGAGTTTCGTATTGATTTGGCTCAGAAGTTAAAGGTTATAAAGGCTTCAAAATAACTGGGATCAAGGGGCTGAGTAAAATAGCACAAAAATATCATGTTACTGGGGATGTTTCACTGCCAGAAAAAAAAAAAAAAAAGAAAAAATTAGGCAATTTATATGTTGTTCTTGTCTTTTTTTCCTAATTTTTCCCTTTTTTCTTCTTTTTTATTTTTTTTTGGGGGGTGGGGGTGTTGTTTTGGGGGGTTTGTTAATTTCCGTGGTATCATTTAGAGAGTTGCCTACAGCTAATGTGACTGATGTCCTTTTGGTAGCTGAAGCAACATCCAGGTGCCACAACTGGCTACAAACAGTGCTGTGGTTTGAGCAGCTCTCCGCATTCAAGTGGGGAGGGGAGGCTGTTTGTTTGGGATCCCTTTACATTGTGGTGGCAGGAGAAGGAGGTGTAACTGCACAACAGCTCATATCACAGTGTGCAGGGTCCTCTTTGTACCTTGATGTCTTACCATATGATACATAAGCGTATATCCAGTTAGCTGCATCCTACTGGATGTGTATCTGAGACATTGTGGCCCTGTCTCCCATACTTCTCCCCATTTTTAGTTGTAGTAATATGGTAGCAGCCATAAAAGACTGCTGGAGCTGTTGTGAGATTATAATAGAAGTATTATATTCTTCTGCTGGACAGTATTAAATAGAGCAATACATAGAGTTATCTGCTAGATTGCAGTACTAATAGTAGTGACTTAGTGATTCATATTAATGTTATGATTTATTTTAACAATAATGATGCGGAAGTGGTTCATTATTTTGAATTAATGCACTTTAACAATAAAAGAAACCAAAATGGAAGCCAATGCAGAGAACTAAGTGCATTATTTAAAGGTGCAGTATATAATTATCATTTTCTTGAAGTACATATTTATTAAGAATTAACTTATTTTTTAAAATATTCTAAAGTTTTGTTTAAAGACATTCCCACTAGGTCATCTCTTTGGGGGGATATAAAGCACAGCTCCCAGATCTTCTGCATTGAGCCACTGAATTCTCTGAGTACAGTGTGGCCCCTACCCAGGGAGAGGAGAGCAGCATGCAGGCAGGAGAGCCTGGGCTACTATAAATATTCGTGTTTGCATCCAGTAAAACCGAGCCCAGGGCACCTCTGAACTTCAGGAATCCTTGCAGTGTTCGGGGAGTCAAAGCTGGTTTTGGCAGACAGTTCCAGTGCCTGGCTGCTATGTGCCTTGCATGAGGCTGGTCCCCAGTGGATGTGAGTTCACTGTGAGGCTCAGGTTCAAGGGCTTCAGGATCTGCCTGTGACAGCTCTGTCACAGACATCAGTCTGTCCCACGGCTCCTATTCCATCCTGCTGACTCACTTCTCCAGCTCTGGCTTTTGCAGGGAGATGGTTTGCAGAGCTCCAAGCAGTGTAGGGTGACACAGAATAAGGGTGCCTGCAGTACTGCCAGGGTTCTTTCAAACAGCAGCTCAGTGCCCTATGGCTCAATTGCTCCTTTATCCCATCTCAAAGGCTTTGTGGCCCTCTGAGGAGGGGCCAGAACCTGTAGATGGGCTGCAAAGCCACAGTCATGGCCTCCCTCTCCCTCTGTCCTCACCCGTACCAGCAAAAAGGATGGAGTGCAAATGACCTACTTGATGCTAGAAATGAATGTGGGCCACCTAGCATGCTGGCTTCCAGCCTGGTGGAAAGCTTCAGTTTGGGCTTCCCTTTACGTGGTGGCTCTTTGGCTGCTTGTGTTTAAAAGGGCACTTTGAAAGCAAATACCCCCAAATGCAGTTTTTCCCCCTCCCATTTTACCATTTTCATAGCATCTCTCACTGATCTCTTTTTTTGATTCTTTCAACTGAGAGATATCAGGAAAATAATTTTTTCCATTGGTGAGCAGCTAATTTTGGTCAGTTCTACTTATACCTGAAATACTGAAATACCCTTCACACTGTTAGCTGTGAAACAGAGGGAAAGGCCTTAAGCTACATTAGAAAGGCTGACTGCAGGGCAGGAAAATGTGGCAGGGTACTCAGAGGACAGTGTAGTGCTAGAAGTGTTTTAGTTCTTTTCTAAAAATGTTGATGTCGCCTTTTATTTACTAAATTTGTCAGAACTGACACTGGATCAAGAGCAATATTTAAATGTAATGTACACCTCAGTGAACACTCAATGCAGAAATCAATAGTACTGTTTAAATTTCTCTTTCTGATTTATTCCTCAACCAGATTGTTAAGAGGAAGAGCTCTGCAGGGCTTGAGCAAAGCCATTTGCAGGTGAAGGGGGCCCTCCTCTGGGTGGAGAGGTGGCTGCTCTCGCAGTCTTGCTCTCAGCCACTCTCCATGCTTTCCAAAGAGTCTTAAATTTGGACCAGCAGAAATTCCAAACTCCAATGCCAGAGAACAAATTTAAAGAATGTGAAAATTGTGTCTTGCTGTATACTGCAACTTTAATAATAATGAGCACTTCTGAGTTCGTTATTGAGGTTTATATAATGCCTGAAAAGTTTAATTGCCGGTTTCCCTTGTCTTCCCTTTCAAAACACTTTCTTGTAACAGCAAGAGTCGTGTATTTTTGTTAGGAGTCCTTCCCCGTGGGAGGCAATTCCTATTCATTGTTTTAGCTGTCACACTGTGCAGTGGGTGAGTGTAGTCATATGTACCAGTCTTTTGCAAGCCAAACTTTTCAAGATAAAAGGATGATGGGCACGTGTCGGGATATTTAACTGATGTGTCAACAGGAAGTTTTTAAATCAATGTATAAAATAATAGTAAATACACAATAGAGAGATTGAAATTGCCTTGCAGCTAAACTCTTCAAAATGGAATTTCACATCTGCATGGGTATAGCTAAAAAATGGATTTGGCCCTTGTGGATATGCACCCCAAAGACTCCTTCCATTATGATGCTATAAAGTTTGACGAAGGCATTATATAATTGTTTTCATCACTTTCAGATCTTAATGAATCATATTTTATTGTAATATATATTCATTGCTTTCATCAGTTAAAAAGAAAGTTACTGCTTTTATCTTATATGAAAAACAAGGGAATTTGATAAAGCATTCATTATTTTCATATTACTAGTATTAACAGAATAGAACTAGTACTATTTAATTTTAGATCTTCATAGCTAGCTTGTTAATAACTCATATTTTCCTGTGTTGTATCCTACTATTTTTTCTATTTTTTTTCCCAAATACTCTTCATTCTTGAGAAAAAGCAAATCCAATGAGTGGATAAGTGCAATATTCATAGAATAAACAGGCCCCTCATCCAGGACTTGGAGTGGAACGTGCAGTGTGAAATGTTTGTAATTCTCTATTCATGCACTCTTAGGGGAAGGGGGCTGCTGGATGAAAACAGGGCCTTTAGGTAGGTAGAGACTGACAGCTGGGGTAGTTTGGCTTGGGAATGGCTGCTTTTCACAATAAAGTATCACCTGTTCATGAAAGTGTAAGGATTATGCAGCATGTTGCCAGGATTATGGATAGAATGTGCATTGACATCCTTGTCAATACAGGACTTCTGAGCTATGCTTGAAACACTCTTTATGTCATCCATGCATGATACTGTCTTCTGGTATGTCTCTGCTGGTTGCATCCTCTGTTGCGCTTCAGAATTGATGATAACTTCAAAAGGGAAAATAATTCTGCTGGTGCAGTCCCGAATTTTGATACTGTATTATGACTTGTATTTATTGCAAGAGCTATGGAAATATTTTTACAGGTTCTTATTTCTTTTCTTTCCTTATTGTTAACTTAAGAAAAGTCCCCATTTTATCTGGGTTAATTCTCACCTGCAGAATTTCACAGATGATTTGGATATTGATTTCATATTACTTGGCTTGCAAAGGTGGATCTTTTAGGTCCTAAATAAAGTTGGGCAGAAACTTCACTCTTCAAAAGAGGTTTTGTCTTAAATTCTATTTGAATGGAAGGAGACCTTCCATCTGTCAAAAATAATGTGACTTTCCAGGTAGCAGCAAAATCTACTACCTTTGAAAAACTGGACTGTTTCTGTAAAGTGCAAAAGAAATGTGAAAGCCAGAGCACTTGATTCTCTGAGCTTTGGGAAGTACATCTCCTGTGGCTCTAGTTCATGTCTCTGGAGAGGGAGTGTACCTCAGTTTTCTGCTTAGTTTTTGTCCTGCTGTTCTCAAGTTTGTCAAAAAAACCTTAATATTGCCAGAGATGTTTGCATTCAAACAGGAAAATGGAATTCTGCAGCTGTACTGAAATAGTATCAATCACACGATTTTGGAAAACCTCTATTACTTTACAAAGTACTAATCTGGTTTTGAGGAGCCAACTTAATTCTTTTACATGCTCTTGTCTAAATTGGCAAGAAGCCCATGAGCATCAGTAGACTTACACTGACAGAAGACCCTTGTGGGTGCTCAGCATGGACCGTTCTCAGCAAAAGCAAGCTCTGCGCACTCTGTTCCTACACCTCTGAAGGGTGCACAGGACTGCTGAGCCTTGGTGCTGCCCTGCCATGGATCCACTGTGCTGCAGATCTTGCAGCTTTTTAAAACCAGCTGGAGCTTTGCTGCTATTTGCTGGTGGTTTCCCATCACTAGCGGCTCCTTCTCTGTCAACTTCAGATGCTATTTAGCCACACATCAAAGTGCTGTGTACCAGTGCAGTGTTTGAGAGCTGCCAGCAGTACCAACATGATGGGCTGAGAGCATATGTTTGTCTAAGTTATTTTATTTCCATTTGCTTTTAGTTGCTTGCTTGAAGCAGGGACCACCAATGCGATGATGCATGGGGAATGTGTCTGCACACTTGAACTGTTTGATGGCCTCTGCTAGTGCTGCCCAATACTTGTGTTTCTCTTTTTCTCCCTCTGTGCTGCTCAGTAGTCATGTCTGTTGTGTGTGTCTGTAATTTTCAAATAAAGTACTGTATGTAAGGCCGGATCCAGAAGCCCCCAGTCAGCTGACTTCGGGTTGGGATGTAGGTTGCTGTTGCTGCTTTTCCTCCTCCATCTTAGCCTCAACTTGGAGCAAAGCACAGATGTCTGTAAAGAGTCACCCATAACTGCTTTGGGGTGTCAGTTTTGTGGGGTGTGCATGCATTGCCAAGAATGGAGCGAGGAGATCTTTTTTCTT